GTTATTAGCCCTCTCTCGATTGATTTATAATAATCAAAAATAACTTTTTGTTTAAAGTGACTGCAGCTGATTTTAATTACAAATACCATTGCATCCGTTCTGCCAAAACGTGAAATATTGCTCATACATGGGCATCGATCTTGAAACGCAATATATATATAACCAATGTTTTTTGTTTGTTCGCCTTAAACTAGTTTATAGTGTGTAAAACTATGATTGTTTTTTTTTTTTATAATATTGAATGAGCAATTTAAATTGAAAGCGAACGAGGCTGTTAATATTCGATTGTACTGTCAGCCTGTTAATTATTCGATGGTACTGTCAGCCAAGTACACTGGGATAGAGTTTAGCACTTGTATGGCTTCGTTGTATTTTCGTTGAAGATACTTACCAAAAACACGAAATTTGGTTGCCAAATATGATTATTTTCGTCAACCACCAATGTGCAGCACAAAAAACGCCAAACAATGCCGGTTTACGGCCATTTTTATTGCGTGCTCTTATTGCGTGCCAACTTCTATTGCGTGCTCTTATTGCGTGCCAACTTCACACTGGTGGGTTTTACCAAGGTGAAAGTTTAGTGATTAATAAACTCAGCATGAACAAATGTAAATAAGTATTTGAATGAATTGGCTCACGTCACGTTTTCGACAGACATCCTTGCACAGTCTGCCGATCATCCTGCTTTAAAGTCGAACAACTTTCTTTAAGATCCTCACTTTAAAATGTCGTCCGAAGAAGAAGGTGATGTGATCTTGGTAACGGGTGCGTCGGGATTTGTCGGACAGCATGTCGTCAAGTTATTGATGGAAAGATGCCGAGATGTCAGAGAAGTCCGTGCCTTCGACATTCGGCCGTTCAAATGGATAAAAGAATTAAGGGTGACTGAAACTTATGTCGATCTCGTGCACGTTCGAGGAGATATTACACAACTATCTGACATCCGAAAGGCTTGTAGAGGCGTCGACGCTGTCGTCCATACAGCTGGTAAGAAAATCACTTTCTCAATTGGAAATCTTTTTGAGACTAATTAATTATGCCTTTTAAAGTCCTGGTGTTGAAGGTCTGCGGACCCCCCCCCCCCCGTCCCCAGAGATGGCCCCCATCGAATAGAGTATCGTGATAAACTTTTATTGTGATGGGAGCGCCAAACTTTCAATAAATTATTTATATCACAAAACTGGAAATATTAATATGAATATTATTACCATGTAAAAAAAACAAAAAAACGAAAGCTATGCTTGAATACTAAAATGCCACATGTTCTTAACGGGATAATAATAATAAAAATAAAAATAATTGTTTATTGCATCTTTAGAAATATACATTTCTTTCAGTATATAGCAATAGAAATATTAATCAATACAGAAAAATAAAATATAGCAAGTTAGTAATAATTTTAAAAAGTAAATAAAATATAATAAGTTCAAATCACATGTTTTTTGTGTGTTGTTGGAATGCCATGAAGATAAATTGTGCAACATGCTTAATTGAGGTTTTGTCTGTTATTGTCATTATAAATTGAAATTTTTCATTATTAGTTTTGATTTCTTTTGGGAGTATTATATGTGATAACACATCTTGCCATAATGTCATGTATTTTGGACAAACTATTAGTAAATGTTCTTTATCTTCTACATTATGCAAATCACAATGTAGACAAATTCTATCTTGTAATGTTGTTTTGGGGCGTGTGTATCTGCCTGTTTCTATACCAAGGTCATGATTGCTTATCCTGAATTTTGTTAGAGTGATTCTTTGTTTAATATTAACAACATTTGATAAATATTGTTCATAACAAAAATCTTTCCTAAATTTTGAGTATGTACATAATTTGCTACTGTAAAATGACTAATTTTCACTGGGTTTAAATTTCACTGATTTACCATTTCAGGCATATTCAGTGGGTTTTAAATTCATGGTTTCGTCATTTAGATAATGTGTTCTATGCTAAATTTTACATATTCACTGGGTTTTAATTTAGCGCATTTTCCAGTCAGCGAAATAAGCTAAATTAAAACCCAGTGAATAATTAACCCCTTTACAGTATCATCTTTCCTTCTGTTTGAACGCCAATGATCAGTGCATTTTTGTTTCATTTTACATTTCACTGTGTTAATCAAATTTTTGGATTTTGAGTCTAAGATTGTTTCCTCAGAGGCGGCCTCTGTATCATACAGTGAGTTCTGATTAATTTCTGTCAAAATGCCTTTTATTGTGTGCATCCAAATATTACTATTCTGTTGATTTTTTTTGTTCATTGTATGCCCATTTTGTTATATACCGGTAGATAGATATAAAATTGAGTTAAAAATTACAATTCTAAAAATGCTTGAAAGTACATTACTATTAAAAGGCAGGTTATTACAGTTACAAAGGGTATTATTCAGCAATTGTCTTTAAAAATTCAGGGATTTTTAACGAGTTACCATCCAATATGGCAATGGCATCATTTACGCACCACTGTGTTTGAAAGACATCTAAGGATTTTGTAAGCAGGTGATAGTTGTATTCATTGGTCACTCGGTACTTAAATTTTGATTTAAAACACTCTAATACATTTGTTTGTACACGATCGTTCATCATTTTGTATTGTGTTACGTGAATTGCCGCTTTCATAGTTGCAATTATGTAGCAAAGTAGACGATGTATAGCCGTTCTTTTACTTGGTGGACCAAGTACATACCACGATAGTGGTATTGTGTCTATATTTAG